ATACTGTGACTGGTTTTTAAAGTCAACAAAAATCACGTGAGGTCATCCGTCGTCGTGACATCAAAACCTGCTAAGCTTTAGTGCGGTTTCATTTTTTGCACTTTTTATCCTCGCTATCGACCTGTTCTTAAAACAGAGCTAATATTATATGCATTTATTTGCAAGACACTCAAAAATAAAAAAGTAAGCATATTTTATCCACAAATTGAATATTTATTTAAAAGAAGTAGGTAGGATAATATTATTATGTTTGTGTCACTATAAAAATGGAAAAGTAAAGTTACAGCTCATTACGTCCCAACGCTAGGCAAAGGGCACGACATCTCTCGTTCCTAAGAGAGTCATAAACCTACATATCTTCGAAAAGTTTTATTTTGTTGGCATTCAAGTTTTTCGTGATGATTTCCTTAACTGCTGATTACCTTTATCAACACTTAAAATAGCAATTAACACTTTCAGTGATGCCGGCGTGGCATGAATTTAGTAAATTTCACAATCTATGAAATTTAGTGCGAGGTCTTACCTCTACACCGTTGATCACGGGAAAATAAGAGAACCTCTTTAAACTGTGACGAAGTTTCAATGCAATTTTACTCGTGTGTTATGAAATTGAAGGTAGAAGGAAGGGCACCCTGCCCTTGAACTACCACTGCTGCCGATTCATCCGGGACCATCTTATTCGTAAATCTGTCAGTAATCTTGTTAACAAAAGTAGTAAACTCCTGAACGACTTAACCAATTGAGATATTTGTTTTGTCGAGACAATGATTCATAGCTATGCTAGGATCCGACAAGTGGGGCAGTAGTCAAGTCATTAACAAATCTAAATATTTGTTCGTAAAGGGAAAAGTTTTGCGCGCACGGAGGACAGTGAGATTTGGCATAATTAATGTTTATACGGAGAAGGAGTGCAGAAAGCTGAATATTATATAAAATATGTGTTACGAATACATTGAATTATATTAAATAAAACATACATTATTTACCTTCATACTGCCAATGTCTTACATATTAATGCACAGTTGAAAGCAAAATACAGTTTACATATTACAGTGTAATAAGTAAGCTGTATTATACAAACGTAAACATTTTTTAAATTATGATCGATCTTCGAAAAACAGACGCTAGTTCTATATTAATAAATCAAAACGGCTCATAATCACAATATAATACGATGTTGGTTTAGTATGAGAAAAGGAAACCAAAAGATTTGGGCCCAATAGTTGGCGCTCTGGTCAAGTTATTAAGTAAGATATGCTAGAGTTAGTGCTAGTATAAATAATAAACTTAATATCTCAAATAAATAAATAAACTTAGGTTTAAAAACATGCTAATGTTATCTTTTTTATGCAAAGCCATATAAACTTAAATATTAATGCAACCGAACGGCTAAAAATGTAGAAGAAAATTAAAATAAAATAAGTTACGTGATGATGATTTGTATTATACATTGTATCTTTTATTGTTATATAAATTATCCGGCTCGGCTAATTAGAAACAACGAATTAACTAATAGAAACCGATCTTGTAATATCAAATTGGAAAATTGTGTAAAACAATTGATAGGTTGCAACAAATGCTACAGTAGGTACAAAAAGTAATTGATCTGTAATTGTTCACAATTATTAATATTAAAAATCGATGACTCCACAACAATAAAACTTACATAACAGGAAAACAGTAAACAATCCTTCTCTATGTTTATCATTGAAGACAAATCTTAATTTCAAATTGGCGAAAAAGGACGTCGTAACAGTTACATTTATGTTGTTGGAGACAGTTTTTAATTTCACCTAAAACATAATTATGTGAAAGGATTTTGATACAAATAACACAAGATTTGAAATCACAACGGTTGCCAAGTTCCGTAGCATATCCTTAAATCAAGCCTATAAAATATAAAACTTTCTTCAATTGATTTAAAATAAGTAAATTGTTAATTTTTTGATACTGAACTAGTAAGTTGGCGAGTTTTATATTCAACAATTTTTTTTGTACCTAGTTTATAAATAAAACAACTAAATAAGTTAGTTTCAAGCTTGTATGAAATATCGACAAGTTAAACGTAATATATAGACTATTGAAACTGGCCAAGTTATAAATTAAATATCAAATAACGTATGTGACTTTTCTTTTAAATCAAATAAAAAACTTGAATTGATTTATAAGAAAAGTTATGTCTTCAATTGAAGCTATTATTTATGGATAATAGAATTTGGCACTCGTTGAAATCTCTTAACCTGGAAGGCAAAACCGAAAAGACCCGAACATCGTTTGTATACTCGTACTGTAACTGTAACTGTAACTGTAACTTCACGCCCTCTTTTATGTTTTTGGTGAGATAACATTAGTTTTTTAAGTTTTTAAATAAGAAGTCCCCTTTCAAATATAAAAAGAAATATTTATTGATTCTTAAGTAGTATAAAAATATTCAAATTCAAAGTAATGTAATTAGCGTTACCGTCCCAGCCAATAAATAGGGTCAATAAAATAAATTAAATGTCGCCCAATAAAAATAAAAATAAAGAAAAAGAGCAAAAAGCAAATAACGAAATTCTGATAATTTTCCTTCCAACCACACCTTATTATCTGTAGGATAATTTGATTCAAGTCGATAAATTGTATTGAACTTGATGATATTTAAATAACTGCTTAAAATTTAAATTTTTAGTTGTCAAGCTGCAATTTCAGATTGGCCATTTTCACATTTATTTTTTTGATGAAATATTATAATACTAGTAGATCTATTAATGTATTATTATGATCTGTAATTTAAATTGAAGATAATCAAAACCATTTATTTTATCAACTCGGTTATTTGGAAACGTCTAAGATTTCGAGTGAAATATCTGTTCCTGAAATTTCATTACAATTGGTTCATCCATTCCGAAGATTAGCTCAGAGAGACAGACTGACAAACAAAATTTTTAAAAATGTTTATTCATGCACGTCAGCTCAATATAAGGCAGCTATTTCGATATTACAGACAGACACTTGTAATTTTATTTATATAGATTACAATCTTGTTTTTATTATTGATTTAAACGAAAAGAAAAAATAACCATTAAATTAATAAGGAAACTTATAAAATAAATAAAACCGAGTTAATAACAAAAAAGAATAAAATATATAATTTCCATAATATAATCGTTTCTGAAGTGGAAGTATGAAGCCCCAACTTCAGAAGCTATTATGTGGAAATTATTATTTGTTTTTGTACTTAAAATATTATACTTTTCTTATACATATGTTTAATTATTTTGCCTTTTAAAAATTTTCTTACATTTGTATAGTATAAAGAAGAATCATTAAAATCGGTTCAGCCGTTTCCGAGAAATCGGTTATCATACATAAAAATACATACGCATCGAATATAGAATCTTGTCGTTTTTGGAAGTCTTTTGGTCGATGGCCATATGCTAACCCGCAATTCCAGGATTCGAATCCAATCCGTAACTAATATTTGTTGAATATCTATATCCTTATTCAAAAAAAACGTGTGCAGTTCACACGCGGTAAACGAGAAACCTTCAGAGAACTAAACTTCGAAAGAATGAAATGCTAAATGCTATGGATGTATATGTTTGTCTCTTTTTAGTGACACTTTTTCATTTCATTGACATTCAAATTTAACACGATTCTATAGTAAGTTTCACTTCAAAAAAGTTGCAGCTGATAGTATTTAGATTTTTAGATGAGATCACGCAGCGCAGGAATATTTAATAAATAAATGCGAAGCAATAAACTGCTACCCTGCAACTTAAATTATTTTGATAACAAAAAAATTTAAACGGATACAGTCTAGGATATGTATCTTGTCATACGTGGTACGTAAAACCCTATCAATTATTTGTATAATATTAGATCGTCAATATTTTAGAAGGTAAGAATTGTGACAATGACACAACACAACGTAAAACCATGTATATTGTTTCAATTAGCACTATTAAATCTAACTTGTCAATCTTTAACTTACGCCGGCTTCAAGCATAACAGAAAAATGTTTGTCTATATGCAATAATTTATGTATGAAAAGCGCCTCCACAATACAGGAAAAAATGTTACTGAGGGATAATGTTTAAAAAAAGAAATACGATCATTTACTGTATTAAAGAAAAATTAAAAGCAGACCAGTCATATATACATTTCCTATTTCTACAATTTAATTTCATCTGCAATTTCCCTCATGTTGCAGTTGTTCATGGGCGGCGCTAGTCACCACCATGTGATGCATGCTCGTTTGCCCCCTCTTATATAAAAATAATACAAGATCAAAGGCATCATTAAATGATATTTAAAAGTCAAAATGATGATATCACCACTCAACTATTTGCATATTCGATTAATTTCGATGAGACATTTAAATAAAACATTCCAGAATCCAAATGCATAGAATTTATTATATAAATAGAAAAAAATCTCCAACGTTTTCCTGTTCTTTTATAGGCAAATATTTGCTTATACAACGTTATACTTAATATTATCACAACCTAAGATTTGACTTTAATTAGTAAATATTGCTAATTAAAGTATTAGATTGTCTGACTAAGACATACACGTCCAGTGACTGCTTGGTAATTTCGCGTTAAAAATGTTAACAAAATAGAAGAAGAGGGAATATCCACGTAGTTATTTGGTTTTAGTCCTAAAATATATCCATTGTGTACTTGATCAACATTACCCTACAAAGAATTACCTTTTGATTCGGTTCAATTGTAAAAAAAACGTATAATTAGCGTACTTTTTACTAAAAAAAAAAGGAAAACGTATTCAATGAAACAGCGTAATATTATAAAAAATAGCTTTTTGTTTAAGTTTAAATAAAGTAGAAAAAGATAAAAATCTTTATTTTAGCAACCTTTCCTACGTAAACGCGTGACGTTATACGTCGTAGGTTGCTAAAACGTGATAGATATAAAGAATATTATATTATTATTATCATTTTAATAAACCATAAGTTTAATAATTTATTTTATTTTACTATTTGCATTTATTTACAGAAAATGGTTGGAAGAAATAGCTTTAGCGAACAAGCAGTGCCGGAAACCATCGCTTCTCCGAGCGATGACTAAGGCGTTCTGGTTAAGTTACGCTCCTTCCGGCATCATGTTTCTCATCCAAGCACTCATTCTCAAGTAAGTAAATTATTACATCCATAACTTCTTTATTATATACATATTCATAGTTTTTTCACGCATCGATTGTTTTGAACGTGCCGTTTAATTTGCACATTGATCAGTCAAAAATGTGAAACTGCTAATAAATAATATAACTTGTGCAAGTCCAAAATGTAAACTTAAAAATACGTTAAATTACTTCAAATAAAACGAGGTATATTTGTTATACGGAAGATATCACGTGATGACCTTTTGAAAAAAGACCTTGATGTCTATTGGATAAATAGCAAAATTCTAAGTAAGCTAAATTCTTCCTTATGGCCACTTGTTTTGTAATGACAAAATAAACATAGAAAATAAGCCCATGCGTATCATAACTAAAACCCAGCAGTGGGACGTATATAGATTGTAACTTTAACTTTTACTTTTTATCAAATCGAACTTTCTTTAAATTTCACTTAATAAATGACGTTTATTAACGTACCTACTTCAGGAACAAATTTGATTATATAAATACCCCATGATTTTTATAACTAGGCATGAAAGGCGAAGTCTGAAAGTATAGATAATAGGGATAGTGCCAAAGAGTCTCAGATTTTGATAGAAACTAAAACTGTATACTTAAACATAAACATTCTTCTAACAGACTTCTATTTGGCACTATCCTGAAACACCTACGTCGCTTGTTTCACATCCATGTATCTACGTAAACATGCTCGTTGGTTAATGATACTCCGAACTTGGCTGATTTTTAATATACCTCCAATTTGGTCGATAAACTTTCGTCTAGGGCGTCCCTTGCCGATTCTGCCATTCAGCATAAATTTGCTTTGTCACGATACTAAACACCCCATTTACTCCTTGTCCTACATTCACTCATCGTTCTATATATTTCTCATGTCTACCATCCTTGCTACCTTCTACCCTTCTGCACTTATTTTATATGTCATTTTTAAAACCATCACTTTTGTATTTTCAAAAACCATCAATTTCGTCTTACTTGAGTTCACTTTTGTTCCCCTTTCCTTTAAAGATATGTTCGTAAAAGTAACTATCATTTGTAACTCGCCAGCCGACGAAGCAAATATGATTTTATCGTCGGCTTACAAGCGACATTTGATAGCTAACTCACCCATTTTCAACTCAGATTCAAACTTTTCAAAGAAATTGAACAGCCACGGAGAAACTACAATATCCTTTCACCTTCATAGATGTCAAACCAGTCCGTGTAGGCTTTGTTGACCTGACACAAGCACTGAAGTACCTTTGCTCAATCCGAACGAAGCCACCAAATAGTCCACTCTGTCGTAGACTTCCAAGTCTAAATATGCACATAAAACTTTCAAATTTTTTTCCATAAATTTTTCTTTATCACCCGCGATCACGTGGTATAAATATTGCAAAAATCTTTGATTTGATTTTCAATCATTTTTTTCTCAAAAAGTACGCATTTCCGCATGTTGAATCTTTGCGTGTGTGCTTATAATAATGTAACCTTTCTGTGATAAAAATATCAACCCCCATATCGACGGACGTCAATGGAAATTGGTACCGTCACGTTATTAAGAAAATAATATTTATTGCGTCCCTGTCTCTCAGATACAGTAAAACCACAGGTTGTGAGAAATTCTCTTTGTATAAAGTTGGCTACAGTTGTGCTTGAACAGTAGTTACTGACCATCAGATGAACTGTAAGTTCGTGTGTCACTTTAGATTTATAAAAAATTACTATTATTAATCTTTAACTAATCAATTGTTCGAAACTAATTTTGGTTGTGAAACAAAATTATTGATTGTGATCAGAATATTTTCCAATCGTTTTATCGTTTCAATTCATCGGCTGAACACCATGCCGCAACAATCAATGTAATATGTTTGTTTCCGAAACAATTCAAAATACTTCGACAGCATGATTTAAGTTTAGCTTAGTTTACTCTTGTGGTGCTATAATTTTTATTAAAAACGGCCTCGAGACTCCTTTGTGCATTATTAGCTATTCCCCATACTTTCGGATTTGGTCATCTATTATTCATTGGTCCATTTATTACAGCCTATAAAAGACCACTGCTGAACATGGCCTCTGCTTAACTTAATTTATAAAGAGTATATTTACCATAATTGCCACGTTTAGCAAACGGGTTGGCAACCGCAGTTTTTTATTTTCTTTATTCTCAAAAAACCCAAGGGACTAGTGGATATTCTTACAGCGCCACGGTCATAAATAAAGTTCAACCTGAATATTACATAAATTTACAAAAATATAAGACTTTCTTTATACCTCTTTTTATATCTATTTACACAATAAATTATGTGTATTATTGAAACGCAAATACAAATTTTCAATATAACTTCGTACGTCTGTTTTCAGAATATAGATAAAGCCTGCAATTTTTTTAAAACGATACTATTGACCCCTATTAAGTAATCTTGAAGGAGGCCAATGGATTCAATTAATGTAATGCAATGTAATATTGGCATGAGCCTACACTCTGAAAAGACCACTAAATATACACAGCTGTAATTTGATTTTACTGAACATAGTACATTATATAGTATATTATAGACCCCATCGTGTGAATCATGCACACATGCAACACACACACATACTCATATTAAAAATGTTTTTGTTTACCAGACCCTTCCAACCAGTCGCGCTGAGCATGTTGTTGGCGTACTGGGAGCCGGGTTCAAACATGTCCTATGAGCAGGCGGTTTATTGCGCGGCGACCGTTATTCTTATGTCATTACTTATAGCATTTCTCAATCACCACGGTACTTACTCTACCCAGCAGTTTGGCATGAAAGTCCGTATCGCTGCGTGTTCACTTATTTATAGAAAGGTATGTATAGATAGAATTATCATAACTGTAATTTTTCTTGTTTAATAAACGATTATTTGCTATCTAAAACTTATTTCACATAAGAGTACAGAATTTGCATAACAATGTTTATACGTTCAATCGCGAACAAATAGTTACTTTTTGTGGTAATTAAACAGAGTAATTAATCTTTTTGACATGTTAACAGATAACGTTGGTGTGTTTCTGGTGGCTTGTTTGTAATTTATCAAACTGTTAACGTAATGTTCTTTTTTACCACTTACATCACTTTGCACAAACAGATAATCATAAATAAGTTTTAAATATTTTCAGAATGTCTCAATAGTTCAAAAGTTTTACTTCCAATTGTGTTAATAAAATTATAAACTAAAAAATCATAGCTATCAACTTATGACATCCACAACTTAAATTATGTCTCGTTATTTAAAGGTGATGCGTATGAGCTCCGGTGCACTGGCTCAGACAACGGCGGGTCAAGTTGTAAACCTTTTGTCCAACGACGTCAACCGCTTTGACTATGCATTTATCTACACACACTTCATCTGGCTCTTGCCGTTACAAGTCATCGTGGTGTGCTATCTTATCTACGTGAAGATTGGCTATGCAGCCATCATTGGCGTTGTCGGCATAGTATTGCAAACTATTCCCGTGCAATGTAAATATTCAAAATTTTCTTTCATATTTTTGTTAAACGAACTGCATCATATATTTATATTAGCCATTCATCCCGGCTTCGCACACGTGATTTCTATATCTCTACAACAGCGCCACCTACTGGATCCAATTGTGAATCTTATCCATTCCCGAATCAACACAATCACGCTCACAAAATTTCATCAAAATCGGTCCAGCCGTTTAGGAGTTCAGTCATATATCGTGTAGATAGAAGAAGTATACATACAAGTGTATGTATAAAGATGACGGAGTTCGTTTAACATTATTATATTGAAAAAATAACAACAAAACAACGGTACAATTAACTGTGTAATCGAATTTAAATTTCAGCTTACATGAGCAAACTGGCAGCGCGATTGAGAATGAAAACTGCTTGTAGAACAGACGAGCGTGTGCGCATTATGGATGAAATAATTAATGGGATGCAGGTATGATTCAATAGCGCATTAATAACGAACATGCTTAATAAACCAATTCATCCTGCCTAATCTATAAGACCTTAAAGTTTTTAATCTCTAACGGTGCAGTCAAGTCTGGCAACTTTACCAATGGAAGTTAACTTTACCATCAGGAATGTACACGTTGTCCGTGTACATCTTTGATGGCAAAGTTAACTTATTCTTTGTTTAGTGCTCCAGAACTTGTGTTGATTTTGTTTGAAATACTGAATGTTGGTATCTATATATTTGTAATAACGTATAATATTAATGGTTAGGAAATGTAATATTTCGTTTTAACATGGTGGTATTATTATTTATCCATATAACTGACTTGGCAAAGATACCACATTATGATGCCACGATGTAACGGTTACTTTGCCAAGTTTTGCTGCAACCAAGCGTTGTTACTTTCCACCTATACGAGTATTTTTACTTGACATTACATGCATGTATATTTTTATGGATGCTTCACCGTAGCAGCCTATTAGACCGATTTTACCCAATAAGTTGTCAATCGATTCATCTTTATCAAAAGTGAAGGAAAAGAAAAGAGATTGCTATATTATTATTATTGCGTTGTCGGATATTAATTATACTATTACTCAGTGTCTTCCTATTTTCAACTTAGTATGTTGATATTAATTTGCACCCAAAGAGCAGTGTAATTTTTATAGAATATAAATGTTTTGCTATTGTAGGAAAACAATATTTAGATGAATTACAATTTTTTTCCTAATAAAATGATAATGATGACGAATATAAAAACGAATACTTGTTAAAAATGGTTGTGACTAGCTTTATTTATAATCTATACTATAATTAATGTAAGCTTATTATTTCACTAATTTGATTTTTAATTTTAGACGAGAATGTTTTTGTTTGATATATTTTAGATTTTAGACAACCCTGACACATATTTTCAAATGTTTATGAAAAATTTAATAATGGGTGAGCAATTTTGCCACTAGCGTAAACTTTGTTACTTAGAACGCAATTAAAGAAGCAAATCATAACTCTGAGTATTGTGTATTATATTATGTGGTAAACTTACCATCATCCTTGAAGTCAAATCCTATTATTTTCATTAAATGCCCCGATAGCAAAGTTGCCACAAAGTGTGGTTAACATTGCCATTTTTATTGCCAATGCCAGTCTGAGAGTACCTTTTAGGTACCTATGTTGGAAAATTGGTAAAAGTACCATCCGCTTCTGCCCGTTGATACATTCATTTAAAATTCATTTAGAAATTGACAAGACCAACGTTTTTGTGTTATATATTTGTTACAAAAGTATAGAAAATTCTAATAAAAAATTTACTTTTATTTATTTCCATCTTATAAAATGGCCGAGATAATGAATACTAAAGTGCACTTTAAAAAAGTAATTGTAAGAGTGCCAATGTATTAACAATCTGTGAGACAGTTTTAACAGTGGTAGAGCCACGCGGCAGCTTTTGCTGTCGCACGGATGGGCCGGCTCGAACCGGGGTGGTACCACAACCTCACAGAAAACCAGCGTGAAGTAGAGGTTCACCTCTGCGTTTCGCTTGGTGAGTGCAGGTGGCCGGAGGCCCTTTTTACAGGAAATGAGGCATTCCATCTTAGTCCTCACGGGTGACAACGCATCTACATTTTGATTTGTAATAGAGGATATATGTAGATGTCTATGGGCCGCAGCAACCACTTACCATCAGGTGGTCTGTGAGCTTGTTTGTCACCCTCATCCTATAAAAAAAAAAGACATGTCATGTTAGTCTTCTAGGGTGATAACGCATCGATCGCCTTTTTGTTTAAAATCAGAGGGCTGTTGGACTATACAGAATTCGTTTTGATTTCTTACTTCATTATTATTTCGGATGTTGTAGATTTGGAAAATGTTTTAATCGGTTGAATATTGTAAACTGCTTATTTTTTTGTTTAATGTTGATTCAAGATATATTCTTTGAGCTGCAGTAGGGTCACGATATCAGGATGACTACTGGACTATACAGAATTCGTATTGACCTTAATTTTAATAATATTTGGGATGATAAATATGTTTTAATTATTTGAATATACACAGTAAATTATAAAAATTTTACCCGCGCCACAGCATTGAACATAGTTGCAGTATTGTTGATTTTTCGATCATTACAACTGTAACATTGCGTTGACAAAATGATAAGAGAGCAACACGACTTAAGTAGGCAGCTTTATTGCTTTATTTATTTCGATTGATTATCCTATGTCCTAATTACTGCTAAGGCAAGGACAACGCTCTGAACGATTGATATTTCAGACAAAGGAAATGCCACAACCGGCTTACAAGGAAATTATTTATTCTCATTTCAGGTCATTAAAATGTATGCATGGGAGAAACCATTCGAAAAAGTAGTGGCATTAGCTCGGAAAAACGAGATCAAGTGCATCACATCTGCATCGTATCTTCGTGGAGTCTACCTCAGTTTTATGGTGTTCACGGAACGTCTAACACTTTACATTACATTACTATCTTACTCTTTATTTGGCTATCAAGTTACTGCTGACATTGTAAGTGTACTATATTATTAAATACGTGTAGGTATTATCAAAATAATAATTTCTTCTTTCTTATACTAAAAGTATTGTGATTTACAGGTATTTCCACTGGCGCAATTTTTCAATACACTACAAGGAACTTTATCAATTATTATGTCAAACGCTGTGTCATTTTTGGCGGAAGCGCTAATATCAGTGCAACGCCTCGAAGCTTTCATGTTATTTGGTATGTGAGGCCACCGGTCTCGGCTTCATAGCACAATTTATGCATGAATGCATAACCGCTAATCTCTTCTTCCTAACTTAACGGGTCCAATTTATAACCTCGACTCGATAACACTGTAAATAAATAACCTGGAAAATTATTTTATTAATGACTGTAGAATGTAATTTTAGCTTAACCATAATAAAGCATTTTCAAAACTATTTAAGAAATTACTTCTAAGGTAACTACGGCTTTAGGTTTCGACAGTTTTTGTCATCGTTCTTCAAGGCCTGGAATACCGACATAACTTAAGAAATACAGTAGGAAAACGAGACTGATTTCTACGTTTAATTTACAAGGTTGATTTTCACAGGCGTTCCCGATGGCACAGATGTTCAACATACTTCAATCAACTGTAGCCATCCTCTTGCCGGCGACCCTTTCACAGTCAATGGAAGCCTATTCATCTATTACTCGTATACAGACTCTTTTACTATTGGGTACGATTGCATAAGTCAAATAAGTTGTCGTGTGAATCGTCTTGAAGTGTCGTCGATATTGTTTGATGTTTAAAAATGTCTCTCTGTCTGCTATGTATTAACAATGCTATGATACTGACGTGATTATTAAAACACTAACATCTTCGTGGGAATCTCCGTAATAGTAACAAAGTACGGAATGTTATAGAATATTTTATCTAACCACTAACAAATTAGGCTATATTATGTAGTTTTCTTATTAATGACAATGTATGCAGTAATTTAAGTGCTATGAACTATCTATTAATTAACAAAAACATTTTTCTAAAAATAAACAAGTCAAGCCGTCATTATCATGTAATAGGATTCGCAATTTGAAAAATTACATTCAATTAAGTGTTACTATTATAATAAATTTTAAAAATATATTTTAAAGTATGTAATAATAATAATTCATTATTTTATTATATAAAACAAAATACCTACGCTCTTGCATATTTGCAAAACGTATATTCATATACATTTATGGATGAAATGCAACCAAAATTAATAAATGACACTAATTCAACATAATTTTCCACTCTGCAGATGAACGTGAAGATCTTCGAAGCGTTCCAGACGTAGATATTGCTAAACTGGTACAACGAGTCGAGAACAAGAAAAATAAAAATTTGAGTGAAATAGATCTTTGCCCCGATAAATTTAAAAAGATCGATGAAGAAGGCATCTATAATCCAGGTCAGGGCAGTACAGATACCACATTTATTCACTTAAGGCGTCACATCGAAAACCGTTGAAGCGGGCTATCGCCGGACTGACCCCACTGAAACATAATTTCTATAAAAACTTCAAAACCGCCGTCATAAGGTCTTTGTGGTAATTGTGTAGCGCCCGCGTCGATTCGAGATCGAGACCGCTCAGAAATCGCTTAGAATCTTAAAATATTTTAAAATAATTATTGATCTTAGTAATCAAAATAATGAGCAAGTAAATTACGAATATTGATGTTATGAATGTATTTGAGTGGTTCCCAAGCATATAGATTAAGTAATTTCGTTGTAATTTCAACTATAGTGATTTTTTAGAGGTGTTTTCGCAAATAATTATTATCGACTCAGAATTTTACAATCGTGTTTTTGAACTCCCAAATTCAAGATAAAGACAGGAATTTACCTATATCAAAATTCCAGTTTCGTTAGTCGTGTCATACTCCTATACTATTCGATGAAAGGAGGTGCACTTTTTCGCGGTGTCGCCTTAAATACACGCACGCTAACCAGCTTCCTTCTCGGTTCTATTCTCATACTACATATAAACAATCAGTATAACTTATCTACTATAAAATTAGGAAAGGATAAACAAATAATACAATTACATTTTAAAGTAGTTTCAAGTTTGCAAATATTCTTGTTTTTTAATTCACAAAAAGGCAATAGTTAATGAAATATATGTACGTGAAATTGTTAAGTTAATTTAACAAACTAAATCTAAACTTAACAAGATCTGCTATCGAATGAGATATCTTGTTATTTATTCCATGTACCACGCCATTAAATATTCCTAGCGGCGCGTCGTTCTGTCTAGTGATCACATTGGTTGTATAAAATGCCTATCTATATTGAGTTTAGCCGATATCAAATACGAATTAATGCCTTCCAAGTATAAAATAATGCACCCAATTAGGTAAATACATCACAAAATTATTTTTGTGCTTATTTACTTTTATGTAGCGTTAATGTTGAGAGTATCCAACATCACTCTCACTCCTATTACATATTGGAATCACGTATAAAAAAATTAAACATGCTTCGCTCGACATGGAAAGCGATAGGATCTTTCGTTTTCACACTAGGCATTTAAGTCATCAGTACAACGACCTCTTTATTTTTCAAGTCTTGTATTAATTACATTAATCTTTTCTTAATTAATTATTATAATAACACTTTAAGGGTTTTTATTTCCCTAGACTGACAGCTGCGTATAAAAAGTTATTGATGACGCCGATAGATTATATTTACCTTAGATCTCAACTATTCACTAATCCTATTCTTATGTCATATACATTGCATAAGCGACAAAACAGAGATTAGGGTTCAATACAGTGTCGGTTACGCGGTACGTCATATTGGATAACATACATACGAGCAAAATCTCTACAAAAGGTTTTCCTAAAAAGTTTTCTCATTTATATTAAAGTGAATACGTCGTTGAAGAAAGTATTCCTAATAATAAATGTTGCATGCGTAATCTAAGAATTACATTAGTTTCCTAAATAACGTAGGTCCTATACATGAAAGTTTGTTAGAGAAGACCTTCTTTATAAAATACAATGTAGATACTAAATTAAGTCTACACATGTGACTACATTTCACTTTTGATGGCAGGTTTCGAATGCACCGAGAAAGGATTAATGAGTCAAGCGCTAGCCACATTACCTGTGAGTCCAGACGTGGGTATTCTTCTACAAAATGTTAGTGCCAGTTGGACCGAGGGAGGACCAATGACTTTACATAATATAAACCTAACAATACCTAAAGGAAAGCTTTGCGCCATTATAGGATCCGTTGGCTCTGGAAAGGTACGCTCAGTATGGTACAAAGCTATCGTATATGTAATATATGATATTGATTTTTATATAAATTGTCTTTTCATTTATAGAGCTCCATACTTCAACTCCTTCTTAATGAGCTACGTTCTACAAGGGGCCGTATTTATTTATCAGGTCCATTATCATATGCAAGCCAAGAACCGTGGCTATTTGTGGCCACTGTACGCCAAAACATTTTGTTTGGCTTGCCATATAATCCTAAAAAATACAAAGAGGTGAGTTATACAATGATAATGCATTAATTATTCAATTAATTTTAAAGATAAATAAAACTTTGCATGTTTTATATGGCATAATATATAATTTACATCTAAAATAATATAATGGTACAAAGTTGCAGTTCTTAAATGCAGTTCGTAAATTTCAGGTTGTCAAAGTTTGTGCTTTGCAAAAAGATTTCCAGCAATTTCCACACGGTGACCAGACATTGGTTGGCGAAAGAGGAGCTTCCCTTTCGGGTGGTCAACGAGCACGAATTAATCTTGCTAGAGCGGTCTATAGACACGTGGGTTATTTCCTAAAATTTCATCATTTTGATTTATGTCGACAACTGAAAATTATCATATGTGAAATTGTATTTATTTTTAAAAAAATATCTTTGCAGGCCGATATATATCTTTTGGATGATCCACTGTCTGCAGTAGACGCACACGTGGGCAAGCAGCTATTCAATGAATGTATCAGCGGTTACCTTCGACACACTACACGAATTCTCGTTACCCACCAACTGCATTACCTCAGAGCTGCCGACTACATTGTCATCGTGAATAACGTAAATTTAACAATACATTATTTTACGCTAATGAAATGAGCGAGCTAACGCGTAAATAATCCCAAATTTATTTAAACGAAAAAAATCAAATTCTTGTAGAATTTGTAATTACTCTTAGATATCTAAATATTACTACTCTGTTTCTTAATTTCAATTAATTTTATAGTAGTTCTCACGTGCGGCGTTACGTGGGATACATTTTAAAAACTTAAAATAGAGTGTATAAGTAAACATTTTTTTTTCTTTTTATAGTATCTAAATAATTATTGATATAAGTACAAATAACTTCTTTTATATTACGTTTGCATTTTCATTTCCATTAAAGGGTTCTATAGAAGCTAAAGGGAAGTACGACGAGCTGATTACTTCAGGAAAGGATTTCGCTAAGCTATTGTTTTCAACTCATGATGAAAACGATACTAGTATCGCTGATAAACCTTCTACTTTGGCTCGTCGCACGTCTGCAAGAGTAAGTTGCCTGTCATAATGAAAAATATTTTCACTGCATTCAATGCATTTGTGGCTTTTTAGCGTTTGCTAAAATATTTTGATGATATCAAATATTCATATATTTACGATAGTAAAAATGATATTTGGATCAATAAAACAAATGTATATCTTCTGTTACACGAATACTTATCAATTTAGAAAAAATAATAGTGCTATTATTAATAATAACATAATTAATTTTCCAGCTTTCAACAACTCGTCGCCCATCAATAGCGGAATCAACCATAGGTTTCGAGATTCCCGCTCAGGAAATGGAAGAAGAACAGCGGGAGTCGGGTTCCATGGGATGGCATGTCTACGGGGCTTACTTACGCGCCGGTGGAAAGACTCCCAGACTAATATTTATGTTCCTACTTTTGATTATTGGGCAGTTGTCCGCAACACTATGCGATTACTGGGTCACATTCTGGTGAGTCATGTCATTTCTGTCATTTAATGAATTACTCTTTTTATAAATTATAAAATATACTGATACATTATATATTCTTTCCGTCATATATTTTTGAATGTACCTACAGCTTTTTTTTTACATTTCCTAGTTTTAATTTTTCGATGTAATAGGACGAACGAAGTTACCCGGCTTAAAGAAAGGGAAACCAACAGTACTATGAAAGACTATGACCGTCTACCAGCGGCGACAAATGGCACTTTCAGTATTATGAACTATTTCTCTGGAATCGAAATACAAGCAGGTATATGTCAATCAAAATAGTACCATAATTTTCATTTTTAGAAAAATCACATGAAATTATTAAAAATTCCAATTAAAAGTAAAAGCCGCCTTCCAAGACCTAAAAAGAATAAAACAATTTCCCAATCTGAAGTCGGTGCCAAGATATATTGTATAAAAGAATTGAGGCCCCGAATTTAGTATTTGAATTAGTTCTTGAGGTCGGCTTTTTATTTTAATTGAAAGTTATTTTTTATCCTTCTCAATAGACTGAGGAATATCGCAATCTTAACGTCGTCTAAATAGTTACATTGAAAACCTCATCCCCTATTTGGTACCCTTAAGAGTGTTTTTTTTCCTCCAATCTTATATAATAAATTATAATAATAATATCTTTATTTCGACCAACAATGATCATATTACATATATAATATAATTAGGTGATAACATAGACTATTGTTAATAATATAAATTATAATAATAAAGAAAAGTATTTGCCAGTACATGAACCATACAACAATGGTTGAGGTAGTGACAGTGACAGCTGGCCCGGATCCTACGTATGGGACCACACCTAAATAATAATAACCTACTGAATAAAAAAAATAATGAATCACAATCGATTCACACTTGACGAAAATATCGCGTAACATACATATGCAAAAAATAAGAAAATAAAATAAACACATTCTCCATTCTTAAACCTCCTCCTTTTTTGAACTCGGCTAAAAATAAAAAAATGTATATATAGCTAATTCCTGACCAATTTTAAAATTTATCAAAGTTTAACGATTCTAAGCTTGTCTGTAATGGTTAACAGGAATAATATGTACATTATATTGCTAGTATTGAAAAAAAATCTCACCTTTGTAAAATAACCTGTTTTTTATAAAAATTTCTTCATTTCCAGATTTGAATATCCACGCATACATTGGACCACTAGACACGTCTCAGTACCTGTATGTGTACTCAGCGTTAATCCTTTGCTGTGTCTTCTTCATTACGGCGCGTGCTTTCATGTTCTTTAAAGTTTGCATGACAGCATCTCGCAATCTTCACAACGATATGTTCCATTCCATGCTCCGTGGTGTCATACGTTTCTTTGATGCCAACTCTTCAGGTATACATTGTTTTTATTTGCGATATCATAAAATCTCATTTGTTACACAGGTAAGGGTCATAAACTAGCACACAGTTGACCTGATTGTAAGTGGATTTTTTTATAGAATAAAAGTGACAAACGAACACAGTCCTTCTAATGGTAAGTGAATGATGAGTCCCATAGACATCTACATTTATCACCGATTAAGAATCAAAATACAGACGCGTTGTCACCCCTGAGGACTAAGATGGAATAACGAGACATTTCTAAATATAAAAGGAGAGAAAATTTCTGCCTAGAAGATATAGGCAAATTTCCCCAAATTAGCTATGCTTGAATTTGGGGTGCTCTCCGTCAATTTCAAAGCCTATGTCGAGGTCTATTTTTGACTTATCGGTATACCGACCTCACAGATCGCCTGTCCATTCAGTCATTCTTCTCTGCAGGGTAGTTTCGCTATGTACTTTTTATTAAAAGTGTATAGTGAACCCATGATATCTGAGATCATGCATAAAATCGGTGTTTCCTTCATTGAGTCGAGCAGTGCGTTAATCTTATATAAACAAGCCCTCGTCTCCTTGTCTAAATAAAGATCAAATCGCTCCAGGCGATGATCACATCGCTCCAGTTGCCATTAAACGGGCAGTTCTATGTAGACTGTTTAGCTTGTACGCAGTCGTCTTTTGGTTGGCCTTATTACACCTAACAATGGAGGTGTATGTAATAATTGGCCTCACTCTGCTGCTGTACAGCCATACGATCATACTGGGACGCAAGTCCCTGTTATTCCCAATCATACGACTGAACGTACCTAAAGCAATTTTTGCCTTATGGCATACGTTACTAAGGCTTTTTTTATATGGGATAGGGTGACAAACGAGCACACAGTCCACCTGATGGTAAATGGTTACTGTGACCCATAAACATCTACATCTATCCTCAATAAAGAATCAAAATGCAAATGCGTTGTCACCCGTGAGGACTAAGATAGAATGCCTCGTTTCCAGTAAAAAGGGTCTCCGGTTCTCTACACTCACCATACGAAACACAGCAGCGTTAAGCTGCTATTTTACGCTAGTATTCTGTGAGAGTGTGGTTCTTCCCCGGTCAAGCCGACCCATTCGTGCTACCACCATAATACAGCTGCAACATGGCTCTACCACGAATCATGATGTTGTGGTTCCTAGGCAATTACATCGACTATCAATTAAGATTAAACATTCCGATGCATTGTTACTCAATGGAAATGCTTAGTTACCAGTAAAAACGGTTCCCGAGTTCTTATCATACACTATACGAAACACAGAAGCATTATGCATTTATTATTTTTCATGGAATATAATAAAATCTTATCTATAAAATAAAATTGACAATGTATTAAAAATATTTTCCTTTCAGGACGAATATTAAATCGTTTTTCAAAGGATGTTGGTGCATTAGATGAACTATTGCCGCGTTTCTTACTGGAATGTATTCAAATCTATCTGGTGATGTTTAGTATCTTAGCTCTTAATGCGGCTGCTTTAGTTTGGACGCTTCTACCCACAACTATTATTTTACTTTTATTCTACACAATCCTACAAATTTATTTAAAATCTGCTCAATCCATTAAACGATTGGAAGGAACAAGTAAGGAAAACCTTATTATATTTATTATAGTATAGGCGATTTTTGTTACAAATTTTAAATTAACTTTCTTTTATTTCTAGCGCGAAGTCCAGTATTTTCTCATATGTCTGCAACACTAAACGGTATTAGCACTATTCGGTCTGCTGGAGCACAGCAAAGATTAATCCAAGAATTTGATCGCTTCCAGGTTAAAATCCATTTCAATTTATTATAAATTTTAGAGAACACTTATATAATATATGTAACTATATTAAAAATATTATGTTAATTCTTTCAGGATATTCACACCTCAACATGGAGCAGTTATTTAGCTAGTGGAGTCACACTCGGTTTTTGGCTCGACTTCATTTGCGTATTGTACCTGACTATTGTTATTGTGGCGTTCCTTGTTATTGATGGCAGTAAGTATGATACTCTAATTTATTTATTGCAATTACAAACATTTTGAATTCACTATACTTAACTGTTATATAAACACACTAGCTTTACGCCCCGCGGTGTTACCCGTGTCAACGTTATAACGTCCAAACAGGCATAGCCCACACTTTTTAAACGGAAGGCTCAAACTATCGCAGTGTAAGAATATAGATATACACTAGCCCATATCGTCCCTTGGGTGTCGTAAGAGGCGATAGAGAGAAACAAACCAGGCAGCAGCGTCTTATAACTACGAGTATAGTACGTGAGGGTAATATGGTGGTCATCCGATTGATATGGTCACTTTCTCATTACTCAAAAATTACAGCCTTGTTTGCATGGATGGTTCTAGGATACGATAGCTCTGCATCATTCAACCAAATAATAAAGGTTCTTCTTCTTCTTCTTCTTTCTTTTTTATGGCGGTTTTGATCATTCGCCAATGTCAGCGTGAAAGCGTTTATTGAGTAGAAGCTCAGTAGTTACAAATACTATGCCCATATACAAGAGAAGATTGTGATAGTACAAGTATCTTTTTTCCTTTAAACCAATTTTTTCCCCTTTTATCTTGTAGTACTAATGGTTATACTGTTGAATTACCTAGAACAAATGACAAACACGGTTGCTATAACTACATTAGTATGTTAGTATTGACAAACATTAAACTTTTATACCATTAGTGTTAATAAAATCACACAGAATATATACATAAGGAGTGTTTGTGTAGGTTAAAAGTGAATCAAAATTTATAGGACGAGGGATGTCAGGAGGGAGATAATCATAGAGTGAACAAGATAATTTAGGACAGTTAAAAAAAATATGGTCGGAGGTTCCCTCATCCAACCCACATTCGCAGAGGGAACTATCCCTAATCCTCAGTTTGGCCAAATGTACTGGTGTACAAGCGTGGCCAATTCTAAAAGGGTGCTGCTTTATCAACGCCATTTTGACAGTTAACTTTATAGTAAATATTTTAGTCAATTTTGGTATTGTGTAGGGTAGTTAATTTTTTGAAGTGTTCCTAATTATTTCCAAACCTTGTTTGCTTTTTTTCTTTATATATTGGTTATAGTATACGACTTTATGTTTTGTGTCTGTCCTCCTCTTAGTTTTGGTTTTATAGGGCGTCAGAGTTTAAGATAACCATATTACCCTCACGTACCTTACTACAAATAAAAAAACTGTGGTTGCCAAACAGCCTACCAAGCGTGGCAACTTTGGCCAATATTCCCTCTATGAGGCCTATGTTCAGCAGTGGACTTTAGATAGGCTATAATAGAACAGCCGTAAAATAAAAAGTGTCTAAGCTGATTATATCCTCAAAGGGTTTAATTTTTCCAAAAGCTTTTCTTATTTGTTTACGTCATACGGCAGCTATTGGCCGAATTTTAGATTATACCTATAGTATATTTCGAGTCATTCGCCCTGTATAATAAAAATTTCCAAACAAACTGTAACATCTGATTTCAACTTCTAAAGGATTGAATTTTCCGAAATCCTAACTTAGTGGATGACTACATCATAAAAGGTAGCTACTATCCAAATTTCGGATTTCCACGTCAAGCGACTCGGGCTGTGATACATAATACAATATTTTTCATATAAGCTTAGCACCCTCATTTAAAACCATAAGGGTAAATTTTTGAAAAAATTTAAAGTGGACATTTTATATCTTTTATTTAAGAGTATTTGCACCAGTTTTTACATTAAAGAAAATTAATTATTTTTTCTCCATACAAATTTGAGCAACCAATGGCTTCTCGTAAGAGTTTGTTTTGAAAATCCGTAAATTCCGTACTCATTTTTTATTTACAGTATACCTTAGGATCAGTCGTCTTGGAAAATAAAAGTTTCATACAAACTTTAACACCCTATGTAATTTCTTAGGGGTAAACTTTTCCAAAATCCTTTCTTAGTGGTTGCCTACGTCATGAAACGCAGCTACTGTTCTTTCAAATGTCTACTACGAATAGGTCTAGTGATTTGGGATGTAATAGATGAGTCAATCACTCCATTTCATATATATAGAGATAGAAAGGATAGATGACAGATAAATGTGATGATCAATGAAATGAAAAAATAAAATGTGAGTCAATATGTTCACTTGTAGGGCTATAAAGATCATGATGATATAAATGACAATAATTGTCTAAGCAGATTAAATATATATATATATATATGTACTTGAAATTTGACAGGACTATTCCTTTCGCCGAGTAGAGGTCAGCTAAGAACGAATTTTACGAAATTCCACCCGCAAATGGGGTTGTGATCGCGTAAATTAAAAAAAAATCACATTTTCAAACTATAGCTCTTATAGGTATAAAACTTGACCAGAATATTCTTTTTTATATGAACTATTTTATGAAATTCCACCCATAAAGGGCAGTGCGGGGGCGTTGAAAATAAAAAAAAATTAAACTTAATGTCGCTTCTCGTCGTCTGTACGCTTAGATCTTTTAAAATACGTAGCAGATTTTGATGGGGTTTTCATCAGTAGACAGAATGATTCAAGAGGAAGGTATAAATGTATTATATACATAATTCTTCTGTTCGTGTGTATGTAACTGAACTCCACCAAAACGACTGGACCGATGTTGATGAAATTTTGTTTGTATATATACCCGGTAAGCGGCTTGTTGACGAGATCCAGAAATCACCCGTACGAAGCCGGGCCGGAACGCTAGTATAAAATAAAAGCAGTATAACCCCAGCTATCTTTCTATATTTTAATAAAATGTTAATTTCCTGTATTTGCTATCTTCAGAAACCATTTTCTCTGGAAACGTGGGACTGGCCATTTCACAAACACTCATTCTGACTGGTATGCTTCAATTCGGTGTACGTCAGACCGCCGAGGTCATTTCACAAATGACCAGTGTTGAGCGAATTCTGCAATACACGCACATTGAACGGGAACCACAATGGGAAAAAGGAGGTAAAGTATTCGTTATAATAAAAAATAATTGCGCTACGTTTTGAAATGTGTGTATAAAAAAATATTTCTGCTTTCTTTCGTTCTGCTTTATAGATATTGATTTTTAAATACGTAGGTAATAATATAAGTGAGAAAAAGTGCTGATTTACCACGTGCTCGGTAATGAAAGAGTATATCGCGAGGAATCCTGCATATCTGATTAATAAACTATTTGGATTAAGTTCGCCAACATACACTGGCGCAATGCGGTGGACTAATTGCTCCATAACCCTCACAGAAATGAGAGAACGCTTGAGCCCAGCAGCGAGCAGTGACAAAGGGAAAGCCGAGGACCATGACTCATACGGCAGACTTTAGGTGGCGGGATATAGGCAAAGATAAGCCAGCCAGATAATAAATCTGAAATATACCTCTTACTGATGCATACTTTTGTTGAAATACAACGAAAACAGTAGAATCCAAAGTTCCGAAAATAGAGACAATCTCCGCGTTCACACTTGCCAAGGGTTGGAATTAGTTTAAAATACATATTGTATTGCTATATTCATATTTAAATAATATAGAAAGATCTAAGACTAAAAATACTTAAACCGATTTCATACTTTAAGGATACGGCATTTTTGGCTCTAGCGGCACGGAGCGGCTGCAACCCATGCACTGGCAGTGGGACATAATATATACTATAATTTAACTTTTTTACATATCAAAAGTTACCTAATTTTACAATTTTATTTTACATTTAAATGTTTAAACATGTTGCGTAAAATAATAGTGTACTAAAAGAAAAGTTACTTCAACCGCCATGCTGAGAATAGTAGGTACCTAACTATAACAATATAATTTATATACGTTTTACCACAAAATAAATAATAGTTAGTTTTACTATGAGCTATGCGTACTGCGAACAAATGAAGGTCAAAATTTTTACTTCAGCTTTATCTAGCCCAGTTAAACCCCCAAAATTCACAAGTTTGCGCGTTTTACCGCTATAAAGAACCCCTTTATCGTATCGATTCAATTTAAGGGCACTCCTCCTGCTGCCTTACAAAGCATCAGAATCTTTGACAATGATATTTACAGTGTAAAGTTCCGTAGTTTCTTGAAAGGCAAGGCTAAACTGGCATCTAAAAAACTTGGTGTACAAGAAAAATGGACAACACCAGCAGACATATATTTCTTGATTAAGTTCGCTCCCCCGTTCATACCGCGTACCAACTTCGCACTAATAATGTTGCTTCCCATCACTAGTCTTTGGAATTTATTTCCGGCTTCTTTTTTGGATGATGTGGCCTATTCACATTTTCCATAACACGCGAGCTCAATAGTCGCGAGTCTGAATTCAGAATTGCGGGACCTAAGTTCAAATCACAGCCAAATTTCATTTTTTACAAATTTATTCAGAATTTATTACAAGTATTATTATTAAATTATCTCACGGACTTACCGGATATTAATTTACAGAATAAAACTACATTAGTAGGTACTGAGTACAGTACAAAAAGAAAACAAAGTAGGAAAAATCCCTTCCTTGGCAGTCCGGTAAAAAAGCAGTTATAAGAAAATAAGATTAATATCCATGCAGGGAGATTTTAGAGTTCATGCACAGGATAAGAGTGCTCGCTTTAAAGTTTATATTGCGAGAACAACCCGGGTTCGATCTCCTCCAGCGTCAAATAAATTGTTAATTTGCAATTTTAAATTTTGGTTGCTTTACCATGTGTTCCGTCATAAAGGGACACCCTCGTGAGGAAAAATATATTTAAAAATTTAAAAACACACTATATTTCAAGAACAATAAGGTGTATAGTATTAATAAGGTGTTTGCAAAGTTTATTTATCGAAAATAACAGCAAATCTTGCTATTATATTTTAAGTTATAGTAAATAAAGTTTATTTACTATTGTTGCATCCTTTTATTATTTCAGCAATGGAAACTCCAAAGGATTGGCCGTGGCAAGGGCGCGTCGAATTCCGTAATTGTTTCATGAAATACACACCCGAGGACTTGCCTGTTCTCAAAAACCTTAACTTAGTCATTGAAAGCGGCTGGAAGGTAAATTACAATAGTTTAACACATTTTCATTCATTCGTCCATTCATTACAGCCCATAAAAATCCACTGATGAACATAGGCCTCCGCATAGATTGCCTCTTAGGTGGATATTTGCCATAGTTGCCATGCTCGGCAGGCGGATTGGCAGCTCTAGTTTTTTTTAAATATTCTAGTTGTTAGGAAAACGCTGCTGCCCATCTCCTGGTTTGTTTCCCTCTATCGGCTCTTACGACACCCACGGAAAGGTATTTTGGTAGTAGATATTCTTACAGCGCCACTACACGGTCACTATAGTTTAAATAAGGTTTTACCTCAAACCAATAAAAGAACATAGTAAACGTTTTAATCTTTAGAAAATTAAAATTATATAAATAGAAATAATTTATTATTATGATTTTGTTTACCATTTTGAAAATCCATTGATTAATTAGTTAATATCTCGTTTAGATTAAAACACAAAGTTATACAAAATGATCGTTACACTTGTAAACTCGAAAACCTCGTAAACGGCTGATTACTTCAGGCATAATTCATTATTATAATTATTATGTTAAAATATACAGAACTCATGTGCCATTTCTTAAGTAACGCCTATGTTCAGCAGTGGACTTGTAAAGGGCTTCAATGATGATAACTATTTTATTAGTGCACTTTAGTTTAGTAAGCACGGGCTTATAATAGTAAAATAACGAGGTATTTCCATACATCATAATCATATTGGTACAAACATCTGAAATAAACTCTTTAAGGCACTTGTTCCACCGCCAACGGTGAACGAGAAGCAAGTAGGGCTAGAAACTAGATAACAGTTGACGAACAGCGAGACGCGAGTGTGTAGTTCCGATAGTTTTGTCGCTGCACGAATACCTCAGAGCCGCGCTGTAGAGTAAAATGACCGCTGGTTGGTCTGTCGACGTGAGTTCTAACCGCCAAGCAAGCATCGCTGAGCGAGTTTTAAGTGTGTTCAAGTACCTGGCACTTGTCCCACCGTCGACGAGGAAGCGATTAACTATCGAATATTTTCTCGCTCAAGCAATGAACAATACATATAGATCTTGTGTCAATAAAAGAGATACATATTATATTAATAGTTGATCGCTAGCTGTCTACACTGCCGGCGAGGACTGTCTCGCCACTATTTTGCCGAGCTATCAAAGATAAAACTCGCTCAGCGATGCTCGCTTAGCAGTCGGACCTCACGCCTGAGACCAATTACAACGGTCATTTTACTTTACAGTACAGATCTGAGTGCACTCGCGTATAGCCCAGCGACTAAACTATAGGAACTACACACACGCTTCTCGCTGCTCGCCAACTTTTGTCTAGTTTCTAGCTCTACTCGCTTCTCATTCATCGTTGGCGGTGGGGCAAGTGCCTTAATACCCTCTAGTAGTAGCGGCAAAGATTCTTAACGTCTGTGTTGCCATTAAAAATCCTTCTTATATGAAAAGTGCCTGATGTCCTACTGAGGGCTGCTTTAGGTTGATGATTATTATGCCTTTTAAAATGATATTGTTAGAAAAACTATTTTTTTTTATTTTATTAAATACCCGCAAATGGAATACAATGCAAGAAATAACAAGATAAAAATCTAAAAGTTTTTTTTTTGTTTATTTTAAAAGGTGGGTATAGTGGGACGGACAGGCGCTGGCAAGTCATCTCTAATATCATCCCTATTCCGACTTGCAATTGTTGAAGGTGAAATTCTTATAGACGGCGTTGACACATCTCAACTCTCGTTACAGGTAACATACAATATATATATATATTTTAAAATACTTATATAATATTTTTTATAAATACTCAAACTCTTTTATATAATTGTACATTTCCAGGAATTACGGTCAAAAATATCTATAATACCACAAGAACCGGTGCTTTTCTCAGCAACAGTACGATATAATTTGGATCCGTTTAACAATTATGATGACGAACAATTGTGGAAAGCTCTAGAAGCTGTAAGTTACTTTCAATATATAAATAATGTTCATATTGTATATATTTCCGCTATACGACTGTTATTCAACATTGAAATATTATAGGTCGACTTGAAAGCAGCAATCTCAGCGCTAGATTTCAAAGTATCTGAAGGTGGATCTAACTTCTCCTTAGGACAACGGCAGTTAGTGTGCCTTGCACGTGCCATTTTACGTGGAAATCGTATTCTCGTGCTTGACGAAGCCACTGCAAACGTAGATCCCAAGTAAGGATTTAAATTTTACCGATGATTTTATATTGCAATATTAAACAACTGTTTAATAATTATTTATATTATTTGCAGAACGGATGAATTTATTCAAAAGACTATCAGGAAAAAATTCGCCGACTGCACAGTGTTGACCGTTGCGCATCGTCTAAATACAATAATGGATTCAGACAGAGTTATGGTAATGGATGCCGGACGATTGGTAGAATTTGATCATCCATACCATTTACTTAAAAATCCCGAGGGATACTTTACGAAGATGGTGAAAGAAACAAACGAAAAAATGTCTGCACAGCTTTATCAAATTGCAAAGAATACTTTCTTGGACAGTGGTGGAGTAATAGAATAAATTTATTGTTATTCAATTTATACTAGAAAGTATTAGGTTTAAGTTATTCAATAAATAATGCAGTTATAATAATTTTATTATTTAAAAGTATGATATTACGTACAAATATGTAAAACGCAGATAGGAAAGACTTGGTAACTCAGTGAAAATGCGGATAAAAACGGGTTGTTTCGATTATTCGAATAATGAACAATATTCTGATAATATATATATCAGAATATTGAACTATAGCCACAGATTGTAGGATCGATATTTGGCATGGAGGTACCGGAGATGATAGATAAATGGTTTAAATAAAAATTACTTATGTATTTCTTTATTTTATAATAATCTTGCGATTATGTAAGAATTATTTAAGCGACAAAAATTACACCAGTAATAATTGCAGAGAAATTTTATACAATACTGTTACAACTCTCTCTAAACAGGCGTAATTCGCTATCTGAAAACGGTATTCACAGCATTTTTACACGCAACCGTAAACTCACATGTACTTTATGTGTTCATTGTAGTTCAAGAATTCATATACTTCTACACAGTGTTACAAGAAATGGTTTGAAATAAGTGTCTAAGAAACCAATTTAGAAAATGAAATAATTTGCATTTTATTAATTTCTGAAAAATATTTTTTTAATATTTACTTTTCGTATTTAGCAAATAGCGATAATATTTGCGTATATGCGTTGTAACAAGTAGGTAGATAATTGTTAAGTTGTTGTACATAGAGCTATGTTTTCTAAAGTGACTGGCAGTGAGTGAAAAATGTATGAATTAGATTTAGTAATATATATGTATGTTATTTAATTTATTACAATTATGTATAGCATTACCATCAATTATATTTAAAGGTACTAAATTACCGTTGTGATTGCCATAGAGGTTAACCTCGAACTAATAAAAAATAAGCTTTAATTTTTGTTTCTTTTTTATTTTATTTTAAAATAATTTTTATTTATATTCATAACAAAATAATATGCAATATATATTATAACAATTAACAAAAAGCCCAAAAATAATCTAGTCCTCCCGCGAATATTGCACAGAACGCTGACAGCGTTTCCTCGTTTAATGAGCCTCGAGTAAAGAACCAGGCTTCTCGTCACCAGCAGGGTCTACCCGTCGACGATACAGTTATTTTTAAGACTTCACCGCGCGTGACAAATACAATGTCATCTCATAGAGACTTATAATTTCGCCATTTACCTTGTTCAGCGGCCGTTACTTAAAACGAGGTACTCCTGAGATAAGAGTTCACAGTGTCTATGCCCGTAGCATCCCAATCAAGGTCTTTACCTACTCCTCTTAAAACACAAAGTCATGCTATCGGGTCTCCTGCCATCGTATTAATATATTCCAGGAGGCTCTAAAACTAAAGGAACATTTAAAGAGACCAGAACCCTTCGGATATCGTCGTTCAGAAAACCGGGACAGGAAGCCTAGTAGAACTTTCCTTACATAAAAGTCTTTGGAGCCAAAATTGAACTCTGATGAGATTGACAGACCGAAACTTCTAATTATTTCTACGGCTGTGCGTAAACTTTCTGAGCTAACTGTAATGGTCCGAAATTAAGTACTTCAAAGTAAAACTATTAAGACGTTCCAGCAACTAAATTCCTTAATCAAAACAGTTCATGTCGTTTCAAATAAGAACTTTAGAGATGATCTTATTCTTTCACTAAATTACACATTCTGTCCGGACTAATCTTCGGAATGGCTGAACCGATTGTAATGAAACTTCACAAACAGATAGAGAACAATCTTGGACATATATAAAAAAGAAAAGTCGGTAAAATAAATATTCTTTATTTATCCTAAATCAAAACATCTTATCCTACCCAGAGTCGCTATCGCTAGTATATAATAAATATGAAGAGGATCTTTTAAAGAATGGTTCTCAACCTTTCAGTGACGGAACACCAACTATACTACGCTATGACTATTTATAAATATACTACGACTATTTATAAATATACTACGACTATTTTTAATATAAGGTCCATAGATTACTGTATACTACTATACTAGAGATAGATGCGCGACTCAAATTTAATTTTCGTTAGTGTCGTGCTTTGCCGAACAGATGGCGCTTAATTCTTACAAAAGAAGGAACATGAAAAAAAAGGTAACAATTTCATATTATTTATGTATATATATATCATTATAATATTTATTTTTATATTATTCATATATTATTATTATTACTACACAATAATACACATACACATCTTGCTAAACTCGATCCAGGGTCTTTTGGTTTCGGGACCGCCCGGTTACCCACATGAGCTATTATAACCTTGTACGTAGTGGCGAAATTTACCTTCGTATTCTAATGATATTTTAGCAGTTTTTCATTGCCTGAAAACAGATAAAACGGCATTTTCTAAAAATAAATAATTTTTCAATAAATATTAATAACAATTTAAGCGTAACTACCAGTGACCACTACTAACTGCGTAGTGCGCATGGATCATTGCGTATGCATAGACTTAATATATAAGTGTGCTTTCTAGTGAGATTAAAATAAGTCTAGTCTAGCACTTTGGAATATAGATGGAAGCACATAAATCGTATCATTTTGTTCGTAATATAATGTTCTAAGTTGCATGGCCATGATTAGGTCCTTACATATAAAATGGCCACTTTGATCTCAAATATCTGGCGTTTCGTTAAGAATTCCAAATTCAAATTTATTTCAATTGTATGTGTTTCGAATTTAGTGATTCATTTGTTCTTGCGCCATTTCATTTTTCTTTGACATCCTTCTGTTTACATGGAAACCTTAAAATATGCGTTATTTACGAATACGAGTACCACCGTGGCTCCAGCGCTGCAGAAACACTTCGAAGGATTGACGGTGTATATAGGGAAGCTACTGTAAAACAAAACACGATACGTATTTGCATGGCCTGATTTAGCGAGAGGCTAACCAGCCTGGAGCCTAGGGCGCAAGGCTCAGGGGGGCTATATGATACAAAACAAATAAATAGTGTGTAAAAATAAGACTGAATTATTTGGTATCTTTAGTCTTTCGTTGACGGACTGAATGTGAGTCAAAGACTGCTAATTAACTGCTCTCTTTTCTACCTTTAATTTTATTAAGGTGTTTTGCCAAGGCTGTCCAAGGGAGCTTCTGCCAGCCATCTGTTGTTGCATCTCTGCACAAGGAGAACGAATCACTGGCCCATGCCGCAAAGGAGAAAGTCAATCTCTGATTGCATGCCCCCAAATAATTTACATGTCCTGTTTAATCAAAGGAAAAAAAATACTTTATGTATTTCCTATAGTTAAGCAGGATATAATGTAAAATAGATATTCATACAGTACAATTGCATAAAACATATGATATAAGAGAAAGCCGATCTTGTAGGCTCCATTTTTGCGTCCAACTAGACTCTCTATAACGGGGAGAATACACCGCCGACCATCCCGCGGTGTGATTGCTCCACGCTGGATGTACGGTTTACACGGCGCTCAATGTGCAAAACACTCCTCTCGATAGACGTCAACAAGTCGAGTGGGCCTGATGGAGTCCCTCCTACTGTGCTGAAGACGGGTGCTCCGGAATTATCACCGGTTCTAACGCGTCTTTTCCGGTACTCCTACTCACTAGCCGTAATCCTGAACTGATAGAAGACCGCTTTAGTGCACCCAATCCCTAAAAAGGCGACCGCCCAGACCCGTCCAACTACAGTCTTATCACCACCTCCTCCTTGTTCTCCAAAATAATTGAATCCATTATAAACTGCCAGTTCATAAGGTACCTTGAGGACCACCCTTTTTTTTCGTTGGGAAATCCTCATGGATACCTCCGGCTGCGGGGGCAACCGGAAGGTTATGCCGGACTCCTACCGGCTAAAACCCCACGGTGCCTCCTCGCACGTGCGCGCGGGGCCGCGGGAAACCAAATTCTTCCGCAGCCCCACACTAGTGCTGATCCGGTCTGTCCGGGCCTCGTCTCCTGCACAGGGTAGCGAGGTGTTCAGCTACCCCCCTCCACAGCCTCCTACTCCACCTGCGTATCGGGCCCCCCCGAGTCCGATATGCGGAGGCCATGGGGCCCGGAAAATCGAGCGCTTAATAGCGCCCGCTTTCCCGACCCCAGCGGCGGATCTGATCTCGGGCTCCGCCGCCAACCAAGTTTCAGCCGCGGAGGGTAGGGAGAGCGGCACCTCGCAATACCGACACTCCTCTCCCCCCGCGGCCCCACCACCACCGCATCTACAGTGCGGCCCCGTTTGAGTCGCGGAGTATAGGGCGAGTGGCGCTTCGCCATACCAACACTCCTCTTCCTCCGCGACTCCACCTCGGCTGCAGCGGTAGAGGGAGTGGACACCCCTCTCACCGCAGTCCACCAACACACATCCGAAGTGGGCTCGTCAAGCCCACTCGGAGTGGCCACCTCGGGCCGGCCCTACACCTCGGGCCAGCCAAGGGGTTCCTCTTTGTTCACCGCGGTTGACCAAGCCACGGCTACTAAGCCCCCCCGCCACGACAAGGCGGGAACGCGTTCGGGGGGGGGTTGAGGACCACCCTTTTTTTTTTTTTTTTTTTTTTTACGGGGGGAAATCCTCATGGACTACCTCCGCCTGGGGAAAGGCGGAGGGGCGTGCCGGACTCTTACCGGCTAAAACCACCCCGGTGTCTACTCACACGTGCGCGTGGGGCCGCGGGAATCCAAATTCTTCCGCAGCCCCACACTAGTGCTGGCCCGGTCCGTCCAGGCCTCGTCTCCTGCACGGGGTAGTGAGGTGTTAAACTACCCCGTGTATCGCCTCAGGGGCGCGCACCGACACCCGCACGCGCCTCCGCCTCGGGTCCATCGAGTAGGGGTGGCGGGGGCTTCCCCAAGTCCCTCGCCCCTGGACCCATTTATGGGGGCCGGAAAAGGGCGTTGTCCGCCCTTCTCCTGCGCCCGGTGCGCCTTCTGCGGCCAGGAAAGGGAGTCGAGATCTCCCTTTCCCGTTCCGCAGTTTCCTTCTGCGACATCACGTCCTCGCAGAAGGACACCACTGCATCCCACGACTCTGCGCTACCGACCATCTTCTGCACTAAGGCCGGCAGCGACAGATCGCCTCCTACTTTATTTGTGAGGACACGGCGCTGCTCCTCCCAAGCTACACACTCGGCGAGCGTGTGTTGCGCCGTGTCCTCCCCGCAATGGACGCAGTGGTGACACCGAGCGTCCGGCTCCCTGTCTATGCGGCGCAGGTACTTGCCGAAGCAGCCATGCCCCGACAGCACCTGCGTCACCCTAAACGACAGGGAGCCGTGTCTTCTCCCGAGCCAGTCGTCGAGTACTGGCCGGATCGCCTCGACGGTAGCGAGGCCGGCGGTAGGGCGCAGAAGCCTTTGCCGCCATTCCGCCACCAAGACCTGACGGAGCTCCTCTCGGCGCAGCGCGATCTGCCGCTGCACCGGCCTCGAGCCCCGTGCCCGCTCTTCCTCGCGCCATCGATATAATGACGCGAGTACTTTCGCCTCTAGGTCCCAGGGCGGGGATCCGGCCAGGACGCAAGCCGCCTCGTAGGAAATCGTGCGATACCCACGGACGACTCTGACGGCCATCGCCCTCTGCGGTTTACGCAGAATGGCAAGAGTGCTGGCCGTCATGTCCATCGCCCACACAGGGGCCCCATACAGGGCCATGGACCGCACGATTCCCACGTACAACCGCCTACAGGCGGCGCTCGGGCCCCCCAAGTTGGGAAGCAACGTTGATAGCGCGCCCGCTGCACCCATCAGCTTGGGCGCCAGCCGCCGGAAGTGGGGTCCGAATTCCCATCGGCTGTCGAGCACCAATCCCAGATACTTCATGGTGGACTCGACAGCTATCCGGGCCCCGCTTGAGGACCACCCTAACCTAACCTAACAACATTAAGATGTTGTTAGGTTAGGTTAGGGTGGTCATTACCTCACGGCTCCCTGTCGTTTAGGGTGACGCAAGTGCTGTCGGGGCATGGCTGCTTCGGCAAGTACCAGTGCCGCATAGACAGAGAGCCGGACGCTCGGTGCCACCACTGCGTCCATTGCGGGGAGGACACGGCGCAACACACGCTCGCCGAGTGTGTAGTTTGGGAGGAGCAGCGCCGTGTCCTGACAAATAAAGTAGGAGGCGATTTGTCGCTGCCGGCCTTAGTGCGGAAGATGGTCGGTAGCGCATAGTCGTGGGATGCGGAGATCACGTTCTGCGAGGACGTGATGTCGCAGAAGGAAACTGCGGAACGGGAAAGGGAGATCTCGACTCCCTTCCCTGGCCGCAGAAGGCGCACGGGGCGCAGGAGAAGGGCGGACAACGCCCTTTTCCGGCCCCCATGAATGGGTCCAGGGGCGAGGGACTTGGGGAAGCCCCCGCCACCCCTACTCGATGGACCCGAGGCGGAGGCGCGCGCGGGTGTCGGCACGCGCCCCTGAGGCGATACACGGGGTAGTTGAACACCTCACTACCCCGTGCTGGAGACGAGGCCCGGACAGACCGGGCCAGCACTAGTGTGGGGCTGCGGAAGAATTTGGATTCCCGCGGCCTCACGCGCACGTGTGTGGAGACACCGGGGTGGTTTTAGCCGGTAAGAGTCCGGCACGCCCCTCCGCCTTTCCCCAGACGGAGGTAGTCCATGAGGATTTCACCCCGTAAAAAAAAAAGGGTGGTCATTACCTAACCTAACAACATTAAAATGTTGTTAGGTTAGGTAATGACCATATCAATTTTAAAAATCTTTTATGTTTTAAATAAATAGATTGACTTGGCCATCGCATGAAAACACAGTGTATCTCTCAAGTAATACATATTATATTAAATTAGATTGTTTAGTGCGATTGCCAAATTCAGGCTTCTAGTTTTATCCACAACGAAGTTATAGGGTTTCGAAAATGGCCTGAACTGCTTTGAGAAAAGGATGGTACGGCCATGCCACTTTCTTGCTCGACTTGGCGGGAGCACATCCGCAGAAAATCTAGAAATATATTCGTGGGCTGAACAGGCACAGATTGAAGCCGGTGGGGGGTGTCAGAAACTCTAAATCACGTCAGAGTTAGCAGCAGGCTTCCTTGTGATTGATAAAACAATTTTAATTCACTTGAAACAAATTGGAAAAGTAAAAAAGCTTGAAAAATGAGTACCGCATGAATTACCTACTACAACCACCAATACGCATCGAGTGCTGGTGCTACGTTACATTACTCAACTGTGACAATAACAATAACGAGGAATTTTAATCATATATCTAGTTACTTGTGATGAAAAATGTATACTGTGTGATAATCGGAAACACCAAATCTTGCCTCAAGCAAACGTTGACTCAGAAAAGGTACTGTAAGTGTCTGATGGACTATACAGTGTCATCCACTACAGTTTCTATCCTCAGGGGTGACAATGCATCTGAATTTTGTTTCTTAATCATTGTTAGATTAGTTTTGTGTGGACCACAACATACACTTACCATCAAGTAGACTGTGCTCATTAATCACCATTTATTTCAATAAATAAGAAGCAAAGCACGAAATATAAATATTTGATATAAATTATTTATAAAAGTAATATGTGCAGCGGTGTAGCCCATTACCCATTAAAATCTTACATTATGTAGACTTTAAAAAAATAGGTGATGAAATAATAAATTTTCAGAGTATTATTATGTACTCCCTTTATTTTATAAACAAAGAAATTCTTTTCGTAAGATTCAGACAAGTGTAACCTATAATAATAACCATCAGTTCTTAAAGTGACATCCTTAGCAATATACAAAAACACTTTGCAGATAACGCAACATTTTTAATATCCTCATCATATTAAATAAATTAACTAATATAAAATAAAGACATAATTTGGTAAACTGACTTTTATTCATACCATTTAGCTGTGTGGTTCACACTTGCAGCTTTGAGGATATTTAAAGTTGGCTCTAACTTTATACATACAAAGTAATGTTTATATAGTTTCATCATTAAGTATTTCAAATATAGGCGCAATATATCTCTTTGATGGTAACAAAACTGGCATAAGTAAAACAAAGCTTTTAAATTTCTTACCATATTTAAATGGTATTAAGTATTAACTTACTCAATGAGAATATAAAAATTACTAGAATAAAATTTGGGCACAAACAACTGCCTATCCTTAATAAAAGCTACTATAACATACTTTATATAAAAAGCACAATACAATAATTTTATTGTTCAAATGGTCTATTTTAACTATTGGAAATGCATTAACTGTTTATTCAATATCAGCAAGATCTTCTTCACCCGAGCTGGACTCATTCTTTTCAAATTCGTCGTCATAATCACCTATTTTGTTAGAAAACATATCATTCATTTCATCAAAATCATCCCCACTTTCTTCTTCATCTTGCCATCTATTAAAGTCAACTTTAAGCCAATGATGTTTCTTTTTGTCACTTGTTAATGAAGGCCAAAACGGTTGATCAGTCTTCAATTTTGCTAAAACAACTTCAATAAATCTGCCTTTGTTAACCTGTGTACTTTTTTCAGGGTCTATTTCAGCAAACAGTGGTATTTCAACTTGATTTAATTTTTGATCAGGAGCACAAATGCCTTTAAAAGATACCAGTCTCTTCTCAAATATAATATCCGGTTTATCACATTCAACATTAAAAGTCAGATATACACGGGCTTTGCTCTGGGCCCATGAAACAGATGGAGGCGTTGCGGTGATTTCCGAACTCATTTCACCTTATTCTATTATAGGGTCACAAAAGGCTCGATTGATCCGATAACAATGCAAAAAAGCCGGTAAGCGAAAAAATAATACTCTCAATGCAATTAGCGGAGCAGAGCACGTACCCCCAATTTAATAAAAACTTATTATTCTTATTTTACAATTCCAGGATCCAGATCTTTTTTTAACTGGTTTTACGGCTCTGGGTTCTAGCACTTCTGAGCTGAGCCTTCCAGATCTTCTTTGACAAATAAAACCACAGACACAGATTAATAAATATGGTAACTAGGTAATAATAGATAAAGCATTCGCGATACCCCTACCCCAGCCTATGAGTTTGGAGTATATATACCGAACCGAGTGACGATAAAGTTATCACATTAAATGAAAAGACGTATCCTACATAAAGAATGATGCCCATTTTTCACCTGACTATGTATAGAAATGAAATAAATCTTAAAATTCAGCAAATTGAATTGTAAATTAAATACGCTTATCACAATGTTAAAAGAAACGCAGGAGAAAAATATTTTTAATATTTATTTAAGCTTATTCTACGTCAATGGTAAACGTATTACCACCATATTTTGAACGTATCTCAACTATCCTTTTTCTAGGACGTTCCATTTTACACACAGCTTTTACACTCTGTTAGTCATAAATCTCTGACTTAATTGAACTCTGTTTCTGAATTTTAAACGTTATTTTATGTTTTATTTAATCAATAAGTATTTCTTTATTACTCTTTGTAAAGTATAGATTAATTGAAAATAACCTAATAATTAAATAAATTAATCGTAAAGTATAAAATTGAGTGCGCACGGTTGAAATGGATTATTTTGATATTTGACAGTTCTACGATTGGCATCGGCGCAGTCCTTCCTTGTTGCCAAAGAGAATATAATCACTTTTGCGTTTGCGTCTCGTTGTGTATTGCTATTTTGCTATTTTGTGTGTTTTTCATGGATCATAAAATATAGAATAGAAATATGAAGGGATACACAAGATTTTTCTCAGTATAATCTCAGAGGGAGTGGTGATAGAACATTAATAAGAGATAGAAAAATTAAGTATTTGGTAACGGCAATTCCTAACCTGAAAAGTAACATTAAAATTTTTGGGCTTCGTAGCCTTTAAATCGTAAAAATGACTACATGACATTATTTTGTAAAGTTACAGGAAGTTGTTCTACTATACCTTATAAATATACATAAACTTTTACTATCAGGTTTTAATGTATGATGATAACAATTTAAGGTATAATTTTATGCACGAAATTAAAAACAAAGAGACCGCGCGCTGCGGATGTGTGAAAACAAATTCAAGCGAAAAATTTACTTGAAATAAAAGACTTAAGGCATAATTTTCTATGCGCAAAGTGACAAGAAATGGATTGGGGTGTCAAAATTCATATTTTTCTGGCGCGTGTAACGTTTAGTGAGAAAGTACGTCTCTTAGTCCGACGCACAGAGTACATTGTATATACATGAAAGATTTTTTTTTTCAAAATTTGATTTGTTTTGATTATTAAACTTGAGTAATTTCAAGATTTTGATAAAAAGGTAAGATTATTTGGATAAAAACAATACCATGAAATTTATGATTCGTTGATAACATCGGATTAGCATCACCCTACGCGTGCCTAAATACCTATGTATGGTCAAATGTAGGTATTATAATTACCTTTGTCGATGTTACGTGAGCACTGAGTGTTGTTGCCGCTTTTACAGGTCACTTCAGGTCAGTAAACTAATATTATCAAGGATGATTTATTTCTTGTCAATTTTTTACGCTGTTTATTTAGTTTGAAAAATGCATTTTTTATTTTCTATTATTATTGTTTATTTTATTATTTTAACAGACATCAACTTGTTATCAACTTGTATGAACTGCTGTGCTATTTAACGTCCTAACCTAAGCGCCACCCAGTATAAAAGAAAAATACTGGCTAACATATTTTAAATAGCACATTTCAAAAATATTATTTATTTAAGCTGCACACATGTAGTTTAGAAATGAAAAATAGTTAAAGTTCGCTCACCTTATAACGTCGATATTACTTCCAATAATTAGAATTGGGTACTTTTTACAGTATAAAAATCTGCACCTTGCTTAGATATAATTGCACCATTGTTAAAAATGCATAAAATGCAATGATAAGCACAAAAAGTTGACAAAACCAAATTTGTTAAGTTACAACCAGCCAGCACCCAGTTGACACAACAAATTTTCTTTTAGATAATTAACTTTTTTAATTTTCTCATATTACTAGTAATGAACTAGGCTTATACGGAAATGAAAAGGATAGAAACGGAAAATACCAAGAAGAGACGGTAATGAACAAGTACGAAATATGTTTATTTTTATAGATTTGTGAAATTAATAATAATCAAATATAAGTAGAAAAGATATGAAATAGCTCAAAATATTATTATTTAAAAAAAACGATTAAAATAAAAAATAATTTCCTAGTCAACATCCTTTGGAGTACTAATCAAAACAATAGAAAAATTAATAATATAGAGTATCAGAACAGTAATTTTAACATTAACAGTTTTAAGATTAGAAACTTTTGATATCGTATTTTGGTAAAATTTTAAATATTCCTTACCATAAGTATATTGCCACACTTTACTTTCGTAAGTATCGGTCTCTATGTAACAAACATATGTTATATTTATAATAGGTATCTATTAATCTAAATCACAAATGCTTAACTTACTGACTAACAACTTAAGGAATTAAATATCTATTATGATTATATTAATCACACTTTCAAACATAATTTAAAAAGAAGAATAATGTTAGAAGTTAGAACTATGGTTAAACAAATCAAAATAATGTAGTTTAATTAAAAAGTATCCGCCCTCGTAATTTTTAAAACCCTGAAACTACTATTTGGAATAAAATGTAGCTACAGTCTTCACTATTACATTTTTTTTGTAACGAACATTGAATGGCAGTTTGTGGCCGTTACTATCCGGATCACTCATTATAGGTTCGAAATCTATACATTCGTCTAAATCTAAATTACCACGGAATAATCTAATGATATCAATAATTTGGGGATATAAATTCAAACGATTCTCTTCAGGTACTCTTTATAACTCGAACGCTATCAACAGAGCGAAATTTTCATTTCTTACATCTGATGAGCGCAAATTATGGAATCAATATATCAGTTTGGTCGGTATATCGAAGTGCTGAAATGTTTGTACAGTAGAGCTACGATGGCTATCCGAGTACAGAATCAGAGTACGAAACCTATCCAACTGCAGAGAGGTGTAAGACAGGGTGACGTTATATCCCCGAAACTCTTCACCGCTGCATTGGAAGACGTTTTCAAGCTGCTGGACTGGAAAGGATGCGGTATTAACATCAACGGCGAGTACATCACTCACCTTCGATTTGCCGACGATATAGTCCTTATGGAAGAATCGCTGGAGGACCTAAGCACTATGCTCAATGACCTCAATAGTGTCTCCCAACGGATAGGTCTTAAGATGAACATGGACAAAACAAAAATCATGTTTAACGTCTATGTCACACCTATGCCGGTAGTTGTTGGGAGCACTAAGCTCGAAGTTGCTGACGAGTATGTTTACCTGGGGCAAATAGTCTGACTAGGTAAGTCCAACTTCGACCGAGAGGATTTAACTCGGCTGGGCAGCGTTCGGGAAACTACGACACATCTTCTCATTTGACATACCTCAAAACCTTAAAACGAAATTGTACAACCAGTGCGTGTTGCCAGTGATGACTTACGGATCTGAGACGTGGTCCTTCACTGCTGGCCGTATGAGGAAGCTCAAGGTCGCTCAGCGAGCTATGGAGAGGGCTATGCTCGGGGTTTCTCTGCGTGATAAACTTAGAAATGAAGATATCCGCAGTAGAACCAGAGTAACCTGCTATGTCTAGTGGGCTATGTCCCAACGGATTAGTAAGCTGAAGTGGCAGTGGGCCGGCCATATAGCTCGAAGAACCGACAACCGATGGGGAAGAAATGTTCTTGAGTGGGAACCTCGTACCGGTAGGCGAAGTGTAGGGTGACCCCCTCCCCCCGAGGTAGAGTGACGACCTGGTAAGACATGCAGGAAGTCGTTGGATGCAGATGGCTTAGGACCGTGCTTTGTGGCATTCCTTGGGGGAGGCCTATGTTCAGCAGTGGACTTATGAAAGGCTATAATGATGATGATGATATCCGTTTGAAAAGATAGTCGAGTTTTGTCGCGACTTCTAAAGTAAATATCAGCATAGTCTATGAGCACTCCAAACGTTGTCTGTGTGCCAACTTCTTTTGTAACTTTGTCAACATCTATTTTTGCATTAATTTTATATAGCTTTGTGAAAGTAAAGTAAAGGTTATAGGATAGGGTGACAAACGACCACACAGTCCACCTGATGGTAAGTGGTTGCTGTGAATTTCAAACTGTTTTTTGACCATGCGTCTCAGAAAAATTTTATAGACCAAAAGTTGAGTGCTGTTCGTACCAAGCGAAAAAAACTTCACAAAACTATTCAATCATGTGTAAAAATTGTGTTGTTGTAAAAACCTTCACTTCTAATTATTATTATTGTATATTTTAAATTTGTAGAGACTATTGCTATTGTAATAATAAATGTAAATAAAAACGATATTTATTTTAGTTTTATTATTTCCTAATGTTACATTATAAGGGATGTAAAGACAGCCTCCCGAAAACTTTAACCACGAACTCACCATGACCATCATCCTGAGCAAGGTACTGAAGGAATTTCTTTGTGGAAATTTAAAAAAATTTTTGACTTTCGATATAAAATTAGTTACCGATATATTTTGTATGGGATATCGAATTTTTTTTTCATTTCCGGGCAAAAATTATTTTACATTTACAATATTTTTACTCAGGATCATGGTCTGAGTTCATGGTTAAAGTTTTGTATATTGAGCCCGTTCACTCGTTTATTCGTTTATGGGCAAAAAATTACACGAATAATAAATAATATTAATATATTAATTAATAAACTTC